GGAACTTTTTTTTTTTACAGGTCAGTTTTTACAGGTGCTCACTTCTGATACTAAACCAACAAAAAAAAAAAAACCCCACAAACTTTTATAGGGGCTCAAGTTAGAGAAGGACCTGAAAGACCAGATGTTGGGAGATCCAGGGAATGACCTGAGAATCTGGTGTATCTGTAGAGGCTCTTCTCTTGAATAATTAAATTCAAGATTAAATAATAGAGTGGATGTAGATTTACCTCATCTGTGGAAATAATGCAAATAAATGATTTTATCAGAGGCTGAGAAAGTGTGGAAGAATTGGTTATCCCTAAAGCAGATTTGTCCTCCAAGTCCAAGTAACTAGCTAGATTGGTGACCTCTAGTTCAATTTGGGGATTTTTGGAGCTTTGGAACCACTACAGTTGGAATGTTTTGTTATATATATTTTTTTGAGACAGGGTTGTGTTTGGTTGCTCAGGGTGGCCTAGAATTTGCAATCTTCCTGCCTAGCCAAGGGCTACCATGCCTGCTGAGATTTGCTCTTTTAACATTGTACCTGTAGAAGATGATGCTCCCCCTCTCAGATTCCTGATTGCAGTAGAATCTTGGAAACTGGCATCTTAGTTGAGATGTCTAATTTTCTAGGCCCTCTTTTTTTTCCGAGCGCAACTGAATCAATAGAAATACTGACTGCTGGGAGAACCATGTGGCCTATTCAAGAGGTCATGAATGTAAAGAGGGTGTGGAATCCTGGGTGAGCAGTTTATTAGAAAATTACTCTAGAAAGGATTAGAGAATGTCCTAAGCTGTTTATAGGATTTTTAGAACTAGGGTGAAGGATGCTATTTGTATGCAAAACAATCTCATAAAGGAATGATTTTTTTTTAACCTCACATTTATATAATGACATCGTGTAGCCAGCTGCTTCTACCCATCTGGCAACTTAGAGATTTCCTTTTAGTTCCTTTGATACAGAAATTACTTATGTTAGGTTTGCCACTGGGCCTATTTAATTGGTATTAAAACAAAACACCTCATTTGCCAGATCTTCAGTGGTTTCTGGTGGAAGCTGTGAGTGACCAGCAAAATTTTGCCCGGGAGTTGTCAAGAGAATGCAATTACCTTTCTGTGTTCTCCTGAGGCTTTAGGGACTCAAGTTAGGAAAAGGATAACTAGCTTGTTGCTATTCCATGTGTGAAATTTTAATGAATTCCTGGCAGTCTAATGGTTTCCTCTAAAAAAAAAAAATACAATAACAGCAAAAAAAAAAAAAAAAAGACAAGCACCAAGAAAAGCTATGTTAGAATTTTTAACTAATAGACCTAATGAGAATTTTTGATTAGTTTGTCATTCTCCTCTATCATAATTGATGGATTTCTGTTTTTTGTAGAAATGTTATTTATGCTCTCTGGAGGTTTTCATTTTATAATTAGAGAGTTCTGCAAGCCTTGTAGGTATGCTCCAAGTGAATGCTCCTGTGTAAACAAAAATCTTTTTAGTCCTTAAAGGTAATTACATCTGACAGTGGTAAATGCCAGGATGGTTATTTGAAGAACAGACAGGTTTCTGGTTGGGGGATGCCTTTCAATGTCAAAAAATCAGATACTTTTCAGTATTATAAGCTATTTCCCTATAGACAGCAGGTATGAGCCTCAGGGGCAAAACTAAAGAGAAATCTGCTTTTAATAAATCAGAGGGAGAATAAAGATCAGTGCTAATCTTCATTTGGGGGGGTCCCTTTCTCCTTTTCCCCCCAGCAGGTTTCTGGGAGTTATTCCTCCAGGGTTTGTTTGCAGCTGTCTTCCTTGTTATATCAGTTATTCTATAATCACCTCAAGGGGGCTTCTCCAGGAGATGTGGTCCACTGCAGTACAGGGAATATTCTCAATTAACGTTTTGAGATTGCCATGGAGACAGATTGCCTGGTGTCAGCTCTTGCATGGTGTTGGGAATTTACAGTCCCCAGACATCTTTGTGAACTGGACAGTGTAGTTACCAGGGGCGCTTCTGGAAGTCATTTTCTTGGTCCTTTGAAGGGCAGCGGTGTTTGGGAAACCAGCTCTTGGTTCCTCTCTGGGCAGGAGCTGTGCTGCTTTTGTTCCTGCATGTTGCTGCTTTGTTCTTCTCCGTCTGAACGCCTGCTGCAAAAAATAATCCTGGCAGCCTGACCTTTAGAATATAAACTGGCGAGCGCGTGCTGTTTAGATGTCGCTTTGTGGGAGACATGTTGATGCTTTGATTCAGAGAACTGTTCATGAGAAACCAGAAAGTCTGCTATAGGCTTCAGATACTTTTGTTTTAATAATAATAAAAACATATCTGAAAGGGACTTGCATAACTACCTTGTGCTTTATTTTTGGAACTAAGCTCCAGCCACAAAGGTATTATGAAGATACAAGAAACATGAATCTCAGAACAAGTAAAAATAATAATTTAAGTGCTAAACCTCAAAAGTTATACATTTATCAGGAAGGGGGAGGTAAGAGACAGACTTTAAACAATAGCACCTTTGTACTTTCTCATTTACTATCTTCATAGAACTACTGTGATGAAGGCCTTATTTCTTCTCCTTTACAAAACATAAATCAGGAGGTTAAGCAGGACATGGGTTTATGATTAATCAGATGTGTGAAAGGGTGTGGTGTGGTTTAAGCATCCTGCCACAGAGTGGGGGATATTTATGAGAGTCTGTAGGTCACCTTCAAGGTGCTCCATAGCAATACTGGCACTTGTTGGGTGTCCATACCTAGGATATTACCTGTTTCTCAGTGATGCTATAATTCCTCAATAGAGAAGAGGACAGCTTTAGAGGGAGTCATACCTGTGAGTTTTGATTAGAGCAGGTCACTTTCAGGTCATTGGTGTTTATCCATGGCCCCTGCCTGCCCAGACAAACAAATTAAAAAAAAATACACTGAGCACCTCCTGAGTTAACCAGCCTCAGGATATCATTGCCTCTCCAGTTGTCTGGAACCAAAGAACACAGGGGATATGTTTCCTGCAGATTTTTTTTTTTTTTTTTTATCTTATCTCTTTTCTTGGAGTGAGTTGTCCTGTATGGCCATGGCCTGGCTGGTTTCTGGTCCAGTAGAATTAAGAATTTCGCCTCCATCATGCTTAAGAGAGGAGGTCAAGTTCATACTGAACTGGATTGCCCTGTTCCCACATTTCACAAGCTGTACCTGAAAAATTAGAGATACAGTCAGAACCAAGTAGATGCAGGACATTTGCCAAAGTGTTAGTGGTGAATTACTCTGGAAAAGGAACAGAATTAGAAGGGTAAGGAAGGAAGATTGAATTGTTTATGTTAAGAACATGTCCTGAATTGTTTGTTTGGTTAGAAAATATCCATCTGTTCATCCAACCATCCACCCATCTATCTTTCAGCTTTTACAGCTATGGATTTAGCAAGCTATAGAGAATATAGATCTTTTAATTACATGAAATTCAGTCTGCATGCTAAGGTTGTTGATAGATGTGTTAAGCCAGGAATTGGAGCTGAATGAAATATTGATTTGGTTCAGGTTTAGTTCAATGGCTACTATGATAGCCTGGTTTTGTTTCAGGTCAATAATTTTAGAAAAAGGCTTAGGCATAGTACAGTCTAGATGAAAAGGAGAAAAGGACCAATTCCATTTTGTATTCAGCAAAGCAATAGTTTATTCTAGGTTTTGCTTCAAGTTGTTGCTTCAGACAGAACTGTGATGCAAAAGTAAAACCATTGCTGTTAATTTTCCTGGATGTGGAGGCCTGTGTACCATTTTGTGATTGTCAAAGGAAGTAATGGAATCATGAGCAGCAAAGCTAAGCCTCTACAGTTCTTGTTTATGTTGAGATAAAGTATGTGCCATATTCAGGTGGTTCCTTGAGGCATGGTATGTACTCTTAATTAAGGTACAGATTAAGATCTCAACTCTTCCTTTCTTTTTTTTTTTTTTTTTTTTGGAAAAATTCCCTTTGGTTCAGGGCAGTTTTCCTGGGGAATTTTCACAAAATGGATTTTATGGGCTGATAACCTGGGTGAGGCTTGAAACATTGTTGATGCTCAAGGGCATGGTAAAACGAATGTGAAGTTACTGATAAACTTTATGATGGAGAAGCATGTTTGGTTTGGGTTTGTTTTCCAAGAAGATACTTGAGAGATTTAATTGGACCATGTAGTTTTCATAGAATCCATTTCATGCACTCTGTCTGTGCAAGGTGGTGTTCTTGCTGGGAATAGCCATTGGCCAGCTTAAGAAATCGCACCTTTTCCTAAATTTACATTGCCCAATTTGGCTGTGCTCCCTTTGAAGGCCCTAATAAACTCTACTCTGCAGACTGAGAAGTGATATGGTGGATCTCTGCATGACATTCTACATTGGCTGTTTTTTCTTTTCCTGGGACTACCTGACATCACAAGAAATTATTCTATTTGAACTCTCCAGCAGAGCCAATTAATTCTGACTTCCTGGGGGAGAGAATGAGCGTTTGCTCAGCTCTTGTCAATCCTCAGGTCCAGGCTGCCCTGCCTTCCTCCTGCAGGCTCAGAGATTCTCAGGTTGGAAGGACTGGGGCCTCACAAGTATTGTTTCAACAATGGCAATATGTTCCTTGATTTGGATGTTTTTACTAATGACTCAGTAACATAATTAATTGGTAATTAGGATGCCGTAGAGGTCTGTTTCCCTTTGAGTCAGTCTCTAGAGAGAATATGATTCTAGTAAAGTCCCAAAACAAAGTATATGCAGAAATTTCAAGCATTGATAGAAGTTGGGTTAGTTAAGAGCAATGTGGTCAGTGGAAAAAGCTGATATATGGGATGCATCTCAAGGGAGGTGTAGTCTTCTTCCTTAGTCTAGTTTTGGTCAATTAACTATGACCTTTTTCATCAAGTAGCAGGAACACAGACTTTAACTCTATACGAGAGCTCTTCATTGTGCCCTTCTGTGTATTTTTCAACTGGAGTGACTATTTTTAGAACTCTTCCTGGAGAGCGACGTGCTCAATTTCTTTAATCCTCAACTCCCCTTTGCTGTGTTTTGCAGGAGAAGCTGTGCCCGAGGATGAACAGATCAGTGCTAAGGACCAGAAGAACCTGGAGCCCTGCGATAACACCCCCATCATAGACAACATCGCTCCTGTCGTTGCTGGCGTCTCCACAGAAGAGAAGGAGAAGTACGATGAGGAGATCTCTAGTCTGTACCGACAGCTGGATGACAAGGTCTGTAGCCAGAGGCTGAGGTCCTCGCTTTGGTGCAGACGTCAAGCCTCACATAAGTGATGGAGCTGCAGGCCAATCTTGATGTACCTTATCCTAATACCCATCCTGCTCTGGATGGCCCAGACTCAGAGAGTTTGCGTTCTGTGGGATGGAAACCTTTGTGGAGGTTTGAGTTAAGAGTAGGGTGCTGGGATAGACAAACAGGCAGGGCCTATTTAGAGTCTTCACTTCTAGAAATTGGAGGGGACTGATTGCTACAGGAGAACAGATGTATGGAAGTGTTTGTGGTCTGTGTTTAAGTTTCCCTTTCTTTACTGGGCCTATCCCTTTTCTCTTGGAAACTTGGGCAGTAATCCCAACTAAGGGCAAGGGTGCTGACTCCCAAACTCAAGTTTGAGTTTAGTCATGCAGATGTAAGTCCTTGGGGCCAGAGAAAGCAATTGTATCATAGACTTATTATAGCCTGACTATCTCGAAGCTCTTTTTTGAGGCAGATTATTGAATGAAATAGTTTGAGCATGCTAATTGGTGGTGTTCAATTTTATAACAAACTTTTAGGACTCAAATAGTTATAAATGCATAAGTTGGAATAGAGGAAAGGACCGTGAAGAGGAACTTGTAACATTCATCCCCAATAAAGTTCAATTTAGGAAACCTGGAGGGACAGGAAATGAAATTGACGTTTCATGTGATCTTGGCTTATTGCCTTTGGAATAGTCTAAATCCTTTCAGTTCATTTCATCAAGATTGCTGATATTTTTAGTCTGATTTGATCTTTTCTGCAGTGGTTCAGCTCAGAGTGCTTTGAGAACACCACTGGCATAGTTGTAACAGCTTTGTTACGTTAATGTTGCCATTAATTTTACACGCCTCTCACTTTGGGGTTAAGGCTTGGAGTCTGGTGTTACCTTTCCAAGCTGAATGTGACCTGTTGCCCTGAGAAAGCTAGTTCGGCTTGTTTGTGATTCTGGGAGTTTGCATTATCCAAGGCATTAAACCAGGGTCACTTTACCCTTCTGCAAACACATTAGCAAAATAGTCACAAGTGTGAGAACTGGGTCACTTGTCCTTCATGCTCTGTACATACTGTTACCCACCACTTATATGCAGGTATTTTACACAAAACCTCAAAGTAAGAGGGAAGGAGATCAATACTAAATTAATAATTTATGCAGTTTCTTGATTTCCCTAAAGAACTGCTATTGTTTAAATGGTGAAGGACCATATGCAATTTTCTCTTCATTTTATAATTGATAGGCTTTAGTAATGCACACAGTGTCTGGGATGAGGAGTGAGAACCTGATTCTGTGCTCTTTTTTCTATGAATAGATGTCTGCCATGGCTGCAATTGACATCACTTACCTTGGTGGCATGAGGAACTTTCACTGATCTGGGAGAGAAACTTCAGAGTCTCAAACCTGTCTTTTGAAATGTAGTGATGAGAACTGAGCTCAGAGACAATAACATACCATGTCTGAGCCATTCAGTTGGTGTAGGAGAGCTGGTCTGGAGTCTTGTCTCCTGATGGCCAGCATAGGGCATTTTCTTTTTTGACATTTCCTGTGGAATATGCCTTGAAAAACCTGGTAAAGCACTCAATTCGAGGTTAGCATTTGCTGAGGGATGTATGAGAGATTGGTGCCTCAGCGGCCCAGCCTTACAAACACTAAAACTCACAGTCTACATGTGATTATGCCCTATCAGCTGTCAGTCTTTCTTTTTCTTTTTCTTTTTTTGGTGGGGAAGCGGGATAGTACTATGTTTTGAACTCAGAGCCACGAAGCCATCATTCTGTGTGTCTTCTCAAATATTCTAGAAGATATTTCTTTGCTTCTAATGATTGTAGATGATTTTGATAGTTTGAGAATACAAGTTGGAATGTGGCATCTTCAGAGATTATTGAGTGGTAGAACTGAAAGTACCTGGCTCTAAGTGAGACATTAACTCAGGGTGGTTACATGACTTACCCAAGTTCACATCAACTATAGGTGGCAGAACTGGAATGAGGCCCGAAATCTTCTGACTCCCAGTCTGATACTCATTATTTTTTGGCTCCAGCCTTTTAACTAAGGAATTGGTCAACCCAGTGAATCTTAAGGTACCCAGAGAGAAATCCTGCACAGTTCCTCCAGGCTGCACCCTCTGTCCCTTTTTACCACCTCTCAAGGGTCTGAGGACAGATAATTTCTCAAGGCCATGCCAAGTGATGGGAGACCATGCACTGTGACATCTGATTTGTGAATCAGTAACACAAAGCCCCAGGCTGGTGTCCCGCCTGCTGATGGTGCTTTTCTCATCTGTGTTCACATCTGCCATTTCAAAAGGTTGCAATGGGGATTAAAATTTTCTAGTACAGAGCAGGTGCTCTATGCATATTAGTTCCTGCCTTTTCAGTCTTCTCCTCACTGGTTCCATTTTCTTGAGGGAGAAGCCACATCACATGTGATGCTTGAAGGGGTGGCTAAGAGCAGTTACAACACCACTCATTGACATTGGTGTTTTTCTGTCTCATTCTTTGCACTCCAGTACCACTCTACTATTGGAGATCTATAAACAGAAATAAGTTTAAGTCAAACTATAAGTTGACTACTTACTACACTAGTAACCATTGCAACAAAACATCTTTATAATTAAAGGTTACCAGTAACCTTTTGACAACTGGGTGACCATGTTATTTCATGTATAAGAAAATCCAACTAAAAAGTTATTTTCTGCAAAATGCTTTAAAAACTTTTATCTTTGGGTTAGCTGTTTATAGTCAGCATCAGATAGAAGCAGGTCAGGAGAGACACACCTGACTGTATAGGCTTGCACAACATACCTTATTCTGAAAAATTTTTTTAAAATCACATTAGACTATGTTAATTCCTTAGAAGGTTGCCTTAGTGAAGGGTCAATGTAGTTTGGAAAATAACTGTACAGGTACTTAGTGTCATTTATAATGTCATCCTTGTTCTTCCTCCTTCATAGGTGGGGCTTGGGCCCTCTGTTTTTCATTGTACCTTAAAATTCACTGCGCCCCAGCTTGTCACCTGTTGGGGAGGAAAACGACATCTTTAGGCTTCTAAACGAGTTCAGTATAAGAACAAAGAGCTCACTCTGTTGTTTCTCTTATCTCATTTCTGACTTGGAGCAGTTTTCCGTTTGTCTTGGGGGAGAGATGGTGGCTCCCTGATGCTGAATTTCTTTTACGTTGTTGTTTAATATTTATGTGCTTGGGATTATAAACATACAATTGTTCCTAATAACTGACGTGCTAAGTTTATAAAGTATAAGAGAAAATATATCCTACAAAATAGTCTGCTAGTTGTGGAAGATTCTTTTTTTTTTTTTTTTTGGGCAGTTTCACTCTGGTGTAATTTCTGTAATTCTCCTGCCAGAAATCTGTGTTGGGGAGGAAAATCACCAGTATTTCATAGAATATTGAAAACGTTGATACAAAAAGGTTGATGGAAATGGGATCTTTATGAGCAGAGGGAAGAGGCCAGAAGATGTTCAATATGCAGGAAAAGGAAATACAGAGCCTGTACTATTGACTGTAGAATGTTCTTGCTGTTTGGAAAGCACTAGTGACTCTTGAGTTAACCTACCTGAAACACATGCACAGATAGCACCAAACAGGCCAGGGAAGATCCAGGAAAAACTGAGGTTATGTGACCCAGGCTCTTGAGTTTACTCCTCGACCAGGCAGAAAACACAGTATTGGGTCTTTTCTTTTCTTTTTTAAATGGACTGTTGATGAAAATACCTAGATAGCACCTGGCACAAAGAAGAGTCTAATAACACCGAACTGGATTAGACTCTGCTTGGAATGAAGACCCGAGAATTGTCATCAAATAGGACTTTCCTCCTGTTCCTAAGCGAGAGAGAGAGGGGCAAACATGAAGCCAGGGTTGTTTTCCACACACTGTGCTTAAAAATTCCTTTAGTGCAGCAAAGGCTGAGTTCTTACACAGTTAGGTGTCATCGCCTGCTGCTTGCCTGCACTGGGGGTGGACAGTGACTAGGGAGAGGCAGAGATGTTTGTGAGCATCAGCAGCAAGTGTCCTAGCTTTTGTGACAATACCTAGTGGTAGAACATGAGAACGAGGAGTGTGGATTGGCTGTTCCACTTCAGTGACAGCATGGAGAGTGAGCATCAATGCCTGCACCCCCAGATGCCTTCATGTTTTTCTGCTTTTTTAATTGGTAAGAAAATTAACTTCCAATCAAGAGGGAGCAAATGTTTTTCCTAATTTTTTTTTAAGTAAAAGGTTTGACGTGGAAATATTAGTCTTTCCGATCTCCCACCTGGTAGCACCCCTGGTCACTGATGTATTTGACAAGATTTGAGACATGAATATATTACAGTACAGCTGGTGAAAGATTCATTCCCTTATTTTTTGAATTAGGAGCTCATGGTTAAAACTTTGTATTGGGAGGGATATCTCCAGGATCCCTTTCAGTTCCCAAGCCCTAGAGCTGTGATTTCTGGATAAGCATAACTTGGGATCAGTATGTAGGGTATTATATTTCCCAGAATAACCAGAGGTTCCATCTGCTGAGAAAGGTGAGTGAAGAGGTAATCTAACTAAACAAGGTCCCAGAGCCAGTGTCTCTGCACGCCATTCCTGTCATCTTGTTAGTGAGCTTTTGACTGACAGAGAGAGAGAGAAGAGAAAGAGACTGGAAACCTGGATATCAAAAATGACACAACTAAGCAAAAAATAAATAAATAAACATGATGTTTCCTTTTAGGATGATGAAATTAACCAGCAGAGCCAGCTGGCTGAAAAGCTGAAGCAACAGATGTTGGATCAGGATGAGGTAAAGAATGCGATAAATTCCTTTTTACAAAGTTTTTTTATTACTCTTTGTTGTTAAGGTTTGTTCTAGAAATTTGATTTGCAAAGAATTTTTTCAAAATCACTGAATGCCGTAGAAATTTCTTGGTAGAATTTCCTTTTAATGCCTGTTAAAAGGTAGTTTGGGCTGAACTTTGAAAATAAATATCCTACTTCCTAGAGCTCTGAGGTTCTGAGAGTAAGTAGCTGTTTGCTGTACTTGATCCTGGGAAGGCAGAGGCCTTTGTCATGGTGGCTGGGCAAGGATGATTTTCCCGCCTTGTACCCAGCACTACAGTGCCTTCCTAGTTTAGGCTGTTCACCATCAGCTGGATCATATTTTGATATAGACCATGTTCCCCTGCATGCCATAGGGAAAAATAAAATGATAACAAAAACTGAAAGTAGAAGATTGAAGAGAAGAAAGCAAAGAGAAAAGGGCCCCAGTGCTGTGTTGGGATATATTTGATACACTAAAAAGGAGTCAAACTGTTCTCTGTCTCCTCCTGATGGCATTCAGTTCTTTAGTAAATGTCTTTATTGTACTGTTTTGCCAAGTATTTTACAAACAGGAACCTAAGCAAAGGACAGCCAGCTGACCCATCAAGTGTAGATGATTAGTAATTCTCTTGCTGAGATCATCTACGTATTTTTCTCTTTTGTGCTTTACAGTGCTTTTTGCTTCATTGCTAAAGTGCTGCAGATTGGATCACATGATGCAGTGACAGCAGGTGGCTTGGGTTGACATCCCTAGTCCCAGACCTCCACAGATATAACTGTCTCTGTAACCATCTTCTTCTTTGTTCCCCTTTATCTCTCCAGTGTAACAATTATGGCTGCTGCCAAAATACTTCCCTTGGTAGGGGTACAGTCTGTGCCTTTGTAATCAAATGAACCATAGTTAATTGATTTCTATCTTCAATGTAGTTGAGGTCTTCCATTTGCTTAGTGTTTCCTGCCCTCCATTGCCATTCTGTTCCTTTGCGTTGCCAGCATTGGTATAGCTTCCTGGGATAAATTTCCTTTTCTTGCAGTTCAAACTCTAACATTTTTTTCATTGTAGGAAAATTAGAAAATAACAATAGGAACAAAGTTAATAAAAGCAACTACAAGCCCAGGCTCTCACTTTTAGCCAATGTTAATATTTGGGGGATATCCTTCTATGCACTCATGATATACATTAAGAAAAAAGTGACAGACTGCTCTTTTAATATGGTTTTGGTTGACTTTGAAATCAACCTGTTTACACAATGCAAAATCTTGACTATGTTTCTAAAAGCTATATAAGTATCATAACAGTGTGTAGTATTTTTTGATGTGTAGTTCACCTATGCCTTAAATATATACATCTTTAAACTAAAAAAAAAGGAAACAGATTTTAAAAAATAACATTAAAAAATTTAGCATCTATAACATACAGACGCTAACCTCCTGTCATCCTGAGCTTTACCAGCTGGTTTTCTTGTATCTGGTTTTAAAATTTCTTCATGTTGGGCAAAATGCAGGTCATAAACATTTGAACAGTAGAGCCATAGGTTCCATGTTGTTTCATTTCCCCAGCTTTTAGCTTCCACAAGAAGAGACTATGAGAAGATACAGGAGGAGCTGACACGTCTCCAGATTGAAAACGAGGCAGCCAAAGATGAGGTGAAAGAAGTTCTCCAGGCCCTGGAGGAGCTGGCTGTCAATTATGATCAGAAATCGCAGGAAGTGGAGGACAAGACCAGGGCCAATGAGCAGCTGACAGATGAGCTGGCCCAGAAAACGGTTGGAGCATTTGTGTCTAGGGGGTGGGACTTCCTTGGCTGCCTTTCCTGCACTTATGCTGATGTTGACAGACTGTATAGAAAGGCATTGGCTGAATGCTTATTTGATGTTAGACTTAGATGCGTTCTGTGAAGCCCCTCCAACAACTGAAATAGTTTATGGAACTGACTTGTCCACTCACCTTAGGATGCTTATCACAGCTGTTTTATTTCCAGAGAATTTATAACATCATCAGGGCTGCCTTGTAGAAATAGTCAAATAAGTGCAGACTTGAAAGCCAGAAAAATCCTGGTTAAAATTTTGACTCTATAAAAGAAAAAAAAATTGATTTCAGGACTCTTAGGCCTTAGTCAAGACATTTAAACTTGAGTATTCATGTCTTTATCTATAAAAATGGCAATAACTTGCTCCTTGCCTAGTATGAGGATCAATGACAGTTTATGTAAAGCACTCAGCATGGACTCAAGCTTAAAGTGCTGCTATTAGTGGGCAAGAGTGGGAGCCCTGCAGGAAATATGGACTTCATTCTTCTTGAATGAAATCCCTTCCCTGTCCTCAGCTTCTTGTCCTGGCTGTTATCTTCAGGAGCCCAGGACTCATCCGTCTCTGTTTGTTTGTTGGCCTGTTTTAAGCTAGCATTTCAGGCTGCACATTGCCTTATTTTCGGATTTTCCCAGTGAAAGCCACCGCGGCTTTTGCACAGTGAGTTAGAGGCAGGCAGCAGGGCCAGGGAGCATCTGGTGAGATGGCCGGTGTCTTTTTCTGATTGGAAAATGAGTGGTGGGGAAGCTGAGTAGCTGTAACCTGCTGCCCTTGGTACCTCTGCCCAATGCCTGGTGTCATGGGATTGTGGCCAATCTGCTTTGTGGCAAACATCCAGTCCTAGGCAAGGAGAGCAGATGGTGAGGAAGGTGCTGATCTGTCAGCTTAGAGCAGCTAGGAAATGCTACTCCCTCCATATATTCAGCTGCATGGAGAAAGACCTTCCTAATAGCTTCCTAAGATGGGGACCGCCGCTGCTTCTGTGGATTTTAAAAACAAGAATAAATAAGTAGCTAGCAATGCCAAAGAATATGAAACAATGCTTCCAGAAGTCACTTAGGAAAGGGGGAGACTTAGATTTTTCTCTACTTACTGTTTTCTCCAGGATTCTTTTAACTAGTCTTTGGTATTATTTTCTTCTTAAAACAATGAAACATTTTCTATAATACAGTTCTTATTTTCTGTCAAACAAAAGTATTATTAGACTGGTTTTGAGTCCTATTTTTAGTCAGATCATTAAAAATGCTCTAGTGAAATAGCTTTGCATGGGAGAATTGTATAAATTTTTCTGAATTAATCTCCATAGCTCTAAGGATTACTTCTTTGTTGACTGAGTTAATACCAAGACACCAAAAGATGACTATTCTATTGATGTGAGAGTTGGTTAAGAATACATACCTTTTGTTAACATACATAATGGATGGAAAAGAGATCGGCTCATTGAAGTTTGGCAAGAAAGTAGAACTTTTGCTATGTATGAAGTCATCTATTGCTAAACTTAACTAATTTCAATGAATAGTGAAGATTAAAAGACTTTTCATAGTTGTTCTCTAAACTCATTAATGTTCCTGTGGGCCATCATCCCAGACCCATCTATTACTATGATGTATGTAGGAATTGGGAAGTAGCCCTGGGAGAAGGTTTGCTTGAGAGGGGAGGTGGGAGGCATGTGGGTATGGTTAGATCCTGAACTAAAATAAGGTGGACTGAAATAGAACATCTGGTGGGTAAGAAATGTGAGTAAATGTTATAAACCTAAGGACTCCTTTTGTGGCTTTATTTTTAATAACTTATTTCACTGACCTGAAAATTGTCAACTGATATGTAGACATATAGCTTGTTGAGATGAAGTCCCTCTTTTTAATCAAAGAATGCAGTGCCATACTACAGTTTGCCTTACATGTACTCTTTTGTTGAAACCACAAGAAATGAAGAAGAACGCTATCTTACATGAGTCTGTTAAACTTTGTACTGGTGCGTGTATGAAATGGATGGGTGGCATTTTTAATTTGTGGTTGGAATTTGTCTTTCAGACCACATTGACAACCACACAGAGAGAACTGAACCAGCTCCAAGAGCTTAGCAACCACCAGAAGAAGAGGGCAACCGAGATCCTGAACTTGCTGTTGAAAGATCTGGGGGAGATAGGTGGAATTATTGGCACCAATGATGTGAAGACCGTAAGCCAGTCCTTTTTTTCTTTTTAATCCTACATCCCTGCTCTCATCATGGTGTGATTCTGAGTTGGCATGTTCTGCATGTATTCTTTTCAGCATCCATTGGTCAGCAGTGTGCTGTGCAGCTTCTCTGGCCTGGGAAATATTTGAATAAATAAAAAAAGAACTGATTAAATGACTGAGTGATTGTTGGGGTAAGGAGGAGAAAAAAATTGCCTTTCAAATCTAGGGAATGTCTTTGATTCTTGGTTGGCTTTAGATAAATTGGTTTATTCCTCAGAGTTATTTGCCAATGTTGCAGAAATTTGGAATTGGATAGCTTAAGCAGTAGTTCTAGTATCAAAATTATTTCCTCTTTTCCATAACAAACAATGCAGTGGTAACTCTCCAAACAGTCAGTGTACTTTTAGCTATTGGCTAAAAGTAATAGGATTCTAACAGTGGTTTGAGATATCAAGCCACAGTTAATTATCTGAAATGTGACAAGTCAGGAGTCTTGTGTGATCTGCATCACCTGGGACTGCAGACTCTGAGGCCCTCCCTCAGCCCTCTGATCACAATCACGTCAGCAAAGATTCCCCAGCTGATTCTCATGCGTGTTAAAGTTCTAAAAGCAAATTTGGTTCAGTGAAGTGGATAAGGCACAGACCCAGCCTTTCTTTCCATTTCCTTTATGCTGTCCTCAGCCTGTTTCCATTATATATCCTTACAATTTTGCCTCATGGTAATAAGACAGCTACTGTACCACCAATGATCACATCCTCATTCAGTCCCACCCAAAACAGGGTGGGCTGAAAAGTGTGGCTATTAACCAGAAAGGAAATACATCACAGAAGTCCCTGTGTACATACTCTTATACCTGATTGGGCAGAATTGGGTCACATGACCACCCTAAACTGCAAGGGAAGCTGGGAAAGCAAAAGAGAATAGGGTTACTACAATTAGCTTATATGAATCACAATTAATCCCCTGGGGTTTTACACATTGGAAGTAAGGAGGAAGGGAGAGTGAGGGTGATACAAGTTGTCTAGAAGTTGGGAATAGAAGGAAAGAGAGAATAAAATGTTATCATCTGAGAATGGTTGACAGTTTGCCCTGATGTAGCAACCATTGTTGTTATTAGCTAGAGAAATAGGATAGAGCTATTTTAAAAACTAGCTTTATTGAGGTATAAACAACACATATTAAGCTTCACATATTTAAAGTGTACAGTTTGACAATGTGTGTAGTGGTCAGCCTCCAAAGTGTGTGGGCTGCTTTTGGTCTCTCTTCTGTTTCATTGAGCAAATCTTTATGCTAACACCACAATGTTTTGATTACTACAGCTTCATAACAATATAGTACACTGTACAGAGTAGTAACTGATAAATCTGTGTTGATTCTATTGAGTTGGGGAATGGTGTTACCTTGCTTAACTTCTACCTTACAAATCCTGAAAATTGAATTTTTTAAAATTTAGCCACTTTGAATTCTACATCAATCTGCTTAGTGGGAACACTCAGGCTGTGAGTTGGAATTGTTAAATGCTGGAAAAGGCTCCCAAGTTTAGGCTTTCATTTCTAGACTTTCTGGGACACAGAATGCCACCCTGTGTCACAGGTCTAAGCTGAGTGTATAAGACCTCTCGTAAACTTAATCATTCTTTCATGGAACTGAATATTTCATGAATCTTTGTGAATGAATCTGTCTAGCACAGAATTCTTAGGTACGACAGAGTTAATCCTATTAAGTTCCAGTTTGGTGATTTTATATTTGAGGATTTAATTTTTAGAACCATATGTTGGTGTTGAACAATAAAATTCTGACATTGGGTTGATTAAACGGCCCTCACAATGTGAAGGTGGAGTTGATTTATGGGAAGTTGGCGCCTGCTGCTGATAACGATAAGGGAAGGTATTTTTATGCTAAGTTCTAAAATAGAGCTGATGAAAATGCTAATGAAATCAAAGAGTGTCTGGGTGCTTTGGCATTAAAGGGAGTCCTTACCTTTGGGAATGTGAGGTATGATTGAGATTATTTTTAAATACTCAGTTGCATGTTTTTGAGATTATTTTTGGATTCTAGACCTTGAATGTCCTAGTTAGTTTCATTGATAACTCTCACTTATAGACAATACTATTCTTAATCATTCTGTTTTTTTCCTTATAATCATAATTTAATCATTAGGGCAATGAGAGTTAACGAAGAAGCCCTAATACTTTCTATGCCTCTCTGGCTTCATTTTCCTAACTTAAAAAATGACAGATGAGCTCAGACAATCTCCTTTGTCAGCTCAGAGGTTACATGATTTCTGTTTGTTAGGTTTACCATTATAGTTACACAGATAGGGTAGTTATTTTGACATAGGAAAATGAACAGATCAATGAAATCTGTTTCAGTGATCTTGTATTTTATTTCTGAAATGCTATTCCGTTCTTACAAGGTCTCCTGGTAGGGATCTAGGGTAGAGGAATAGATGGAGTCTCCCTCAGTCCACAGTTCCGGAATATGACAGACCTGAACAGCCAAGGGAACTGAAAAACCCAAACTTCTGAGCTCAGTCATGTCTGGAATGTTTCCGGCAACCAGGCAACATTTTGTTTAGTCAACAGAACAAGACGAGCCCAGTGTGAACTTTACTTAGGCATTAGGGAGCCCCTCTTCCTTTCATGTACCTATGTCACTGGGCGTGCCTTAAAACAAAGATGTTCAGAAGTCTGGCCCTATACTGAACAGAGAGGTGAGCTACTATGTGCAATTATTACGTTTCGAGCTCTGTGGAACTCTGGGAAGGAGGGGAAGGAAAAGAGAATGATAGAGCGTCAGCAAGATCATAAAACATCACATCTGTGAAGGCAGAAGATACAAGGATTTGTACTGACAGCTGGGGAAACATGGAGGGTGGGAGGGAAAGAGAAAGGGAGAGCAATGGAAGGCGTTTAAGGGACCAAAGTAAAGTGCAGTCACAGCAGGGACACATTGAGGAACCCCTTTGAACATCGACTTAAATCTTCATAACAAAAGACAGGACTGTAAAATAGGTGGGGGGGTACTTGTGGGAGGGGAGAGGGTGAAGGAAGGAGAGTGAGGGTATATGGTTGATGGACTTCACATATTTATATGAAAAAGAACAATGAACTCTCTTGCAATTGCTTTAAGTGGGGCAGGAGGGTATCAAGGGGGAGAGACAGTGGGGGGTGACCTTACCAATGTACAGTATAAGCCCATTTGAAATTGTCACAAAGAATCCTCCCTGTACAATGAATATATCCTAACAAAACATTTTAAAAAGTAATAAAGTTGAGGTAGAGTATATGAAATGCCTAATTTTTTTTTTTTGACGGAACTGGGATTTGAACTCAGGGTTTCGTGCTTGCTGGCATGCACTCTTACCGCTTGAGCCACTCCACTAGTGTAATTTTGTTTTGACCTACACTGACTTCTTTTCATCTTGTTCTGACTTCCAAGCCTTAGAATGTGAACACTCATCTCACTTAGCTTTTACATGCCCTAGAAATAGCAGTAGTTCCTCACCTTGCACAGTTACCCTGTGCTTGAGCGATTGCAGTGGTGCTGGTGAGGTGACTCTTCCTGTTAGGCAGGTGGAAGGGGCAGGTGGATCTTCCCGTATGATTTCACTCTAGAGCGGTCTTTTCTGCTGGATCGTCACTGGTCCTGGATTACACGGTCTAGGACTGCTGTGGGCATTGCCGATCCCTGGGAGAGTTAGAAACATTTTACCTGGAAATTGGCCATTCTTTTTGAAATAGCAGTGTACTGGAGTTACTGGAAACTCTTGAACATGAACCTATTAAATATAAAAACTCTTTAAGGAACCTCACAGTTTAAAAACATTTGTTTGTGGTATTATTTTTCCTAGCAGGCATGGATTCAAAATCCCCTTTTAGACCTCCTAGGACAAGAGTAGGCTTTAGAAGTTCTGGTCTTGTTTGGGGGAAAAAAATCCAGCTCTCATTTTGCAGGAAACCCATCATTTTACACACACACACACACACACACACACACACACACACACACACATACACACACACACACACACACGTATATTTATTCTTTCACAGCCTACCTGGGATCCGGGCACAGAAAACACAGCATCCCACCTTGATAGACCTGGAGGAGAAAAGAGGTTTGTTCTCTTCCCCTGTGCCTGACCTGTTGGCTGCTATAGGCTGTGAATTCCATATGGAAGTGATGACTAATCTTTGCCTTCTCTTTGTCCCCTTTCTCTTTTCCTTTCACCCTTCTTTCCTTTCTCTCTCCTCACGCTGGCCTTATACTTGAGATCCTTCTGTCTTACGCTTCCAAGTGATGGAGTTGTAGATGAGCGCCACCATGCGTCAGCTGATGGTTATTTTTTATTTTTATTTGTGGTACTTGGGTTTGAACTTAGGGCCTCAGGTTTGTTAGTCAAGTGCTCTGCTGCTTCAGCTATGCCCCAGCCCTTTTTTGATTGAGCTATTTTCTGGATAGGGTCTCGTGTTTTTGCCCAGGTCATGCCTTAAACTACAATCCTCCTACCTACAGCTTTCTGAATAACTGGGACTGCAGATGCATACCACCATACCTGGCTTATTTGTTGAAACTGGAGTCTTGATGACTTTTTGCCAGGGCTGGCCAGAACCTCCATCCTCCTGATCTCCACCTCCCCAGTAGCTGGGATTGCAGGCATGAATCACTATGCCAAGTTCTTTATCTTTTTACAGAAGCTGGGTGATATGTGACATACACCTGATTGGACTTAGGAAGGTGTTTTTCACCCTTGTCCCATGCTGAGTCCATTGGCAGAACAAAACTGAACTTTAGTGCTGCAAGCTTTTCTCACTCAGTATTTCCATGCTATTGAAATAAAAGGAATGCAATGAGGATTGGTGTTGGAAGGCAAATCTTTGTCAAAAATACAACCAGCTTGGCAAGAGTCTTCATGAGGATAGTGACACTTGTAGATTTTCTTAGTGTTAACTTAGACTCTTCATTGTTTTGATTGATGTTGGAGCCATTATTAATAAGCTCTGATGTTGAATTCTTATGAGAGGATTGATGTCATGTTACATGTACTTTAGCACTGTCCAATTTCTTTTCCCCAACTCTCAAATGTTTACTGAAAAAGTAGTTATATGTTGAGTTAACAACAGCAGTAATGACACAAGTGGGCAGTGAGAGTGTACTGTAGAACTTCAAAAGCCATATATGAGTCATTGTCTTGAAAGGGTGGAAGCAGGGGTTCACTGGCTGGATTCTGGATGGTGCTCTTTGTCCTCTCCTAAGGTGCTAGGCTGCCCTCTGGCGGCTAAACAAAGCATGCGCACAGCCACTAGCTCTTTGGTCAATTGTCCCGAGCATATTTGCATCTCAGCAGATGGCTTTCTATCCCAAATATCTCACACCATTTTTGTTTCCTGTGGAGCTCTGAAACATAGAAACCACATATAGATCATGCAGGAATGCTGACTGTTAGACTCTTCTCTTCAAAATGTAAATTTAGATTGTTCTCAGGTGATCTTAAATAATGAGCAAGATTATCGTCTGTTTGGAAGGGCAGGCATGAAAAGGCAAGGAAATATAGATTAGTACAATGAAAAGTCTGCGCATTGCCTTACATCCAGAGGGGACTTTGGAATGAATAGTACATTCCTATGCTAAGATTTTCTGAGGACTGTACAGAAAGTCCTTTTTATTTCAGTCATTGCATATAGAGGCACTCAAGGCATTAGGCCACTTCTCTACCTGAATAAGCAGACTATGGAGATCATAATGGAAATGTTGATTTGAGTTTTTAGAGGCACTAAGCGTCACCTTAATCCCTGTCATACTGGGTTTCATTATCATAGAGATGCAAAGTATAAGACATCAAACATCTTTGAAGTTACCTCCTTTTAAAAGTCTTCAGTATTTTTCTTATGCTGTCATATCTCTTATCTTAAAAATCAATTATAATGAAAACCCTGGTTAATTGGGGATTAGTAGAGGTTTTCAATGGGAAGTTTCACCTCAGGTTTCAGAGAACTTTGGGTTAAATGAATGTAGACAACTTCTCAGAGATTGTTTTCAGCTTGCACTATGAGTAGAGATGCTCAGCCAGAAATCTAGGGACATCTGAAGGATCCAGAGGTTTCAGGGGATCTGTGAACCTCTAGAAATTGTGGGTGGCATTTGAGTGTGTCCCCTCCTGTGCTCAGTTGGCAGATGTGAATGGAGTCATTGAAGAGGAGTTCACCATGGCCCGCTTGTACATCAGCAAGATGAAGTCGGAGGTCAAGTCTTTGGTGAACCGCAGCAAACAGCTTGAGAGCGCTCAGATGGATTCCAACAGGAAGATGAATGCCAGCGAGCGGGAGCTGGCGGCGTGCCAGCTGCTCATCTCGCAGGTGGGCCATCCTTCTCTCCTTACTCGCACCATGTCCTCTTGACCTGTGCCCTTCCTGGTGCTGACAATGACCCGTAGGGGTAGGTGATGCACTTTGATTTATCTAAGCATGACCTCCACAGGCAATGAGAGCCCAGGTTTATTCTTTTTTTGTTTTATTTTGAGACAAGGTCTCGCTGTGTAGTCCGGGCTGTCCTAGAACTCATGATCCTCCTGCCTCAGCTTCCTGAGTGTTGGGATTACAGCGATGTATCACCATACCTGACTCCCCAGGTTTATCTTAAGGTTAGATTATGTTGTATGAGTTACATAAATTTCCTTGAATCCCTTCTCTTTTTAAAGGATATATCTATATATCCCTATCTGCTTATGGATGCATAGATAGAATATATGATGTATGATCAGGATTGGGTAGAATCTCTAAAATTCCTATCAGCTAAGGCAGAATTGCTTCATCTTTTAATCTGTACTCCAGGTATTAATGAAGGAGAATAGTAGAGGGGGTGCATTCAAGTATGGTATATTTGATACATTGTAAGAACTTTTGTAAATGTCACAATGTACCCCCACCTAGCACAACAACAACAAAAAGATAGGAAAGTAGAAAAGGTGGCAGCTACTATTGTTATTCATAGTATTTGTGGCAACATTTTGAGTGTTTGTTATGTGTCGTGCTAAGTACTTTACATGTGTTTTCTTACTTGATCCTTAAAATATCCTGGTAGGCGGGTTTTATTGTTCGTCATTTTCAGATAAGGGTACGGAGACAGACCAATATTTGAATAGCGGTAAGAGCTGGGCCTCAGATCAAAGTGTGTGCAAACCCAAAGCCTGTGTCTTCAAAGGCTTTGAGCCCAAGGGTATATTGCATTTGCTCAGCAAGCCGCTCTTCCTCCATTAGAACGGCATCTTTGTTTCAGTAAGGTTGTTTCAGAGGACAACACCCCAATTTCATGGCCTGCCACTGATATCTAAGTTGGTGTTTGGGTTCGAGGATTTTGTGAGTGGTCTAGTTGTGCTCTGCTTATTGCCTTACCTCAGGCTTGAAAACAAAGCCATGGGGGCAGGGGTGGGGGGAAACAGATACCAACATGAATTGTGCATCAAACAATTCCAAGAGGCAGACAGAAGCACACTTCATTCTGGTTTGCCTTTAAGCATGATAGTATGTAATCATAAAAAAATCTCCAACCTAATCATCTAAAATGGATCCATAGGTTCCATTTTATATCTAATGTAATAAGCAAAAATGTATATTAAAATGTATTGAAAAGACTATTGAATGCTTGTATGTGACCATGAATGATGTGATATATTCATACATTGTTGATGAAAGTATAATTTGGTCAGTCCCTTTGGAAAGCTCCTTGAAAACACAAAACCATAAAAATGTAAGCATATTTTGGTCAGATAGTTTCACTTATTCTATTTACTTACAGTATTTTTCATTGGCAATGAAAATGAAAAATTTTCATTTCATATGGTATTATCATTTCTTGATTAAAAATACTAAAAGCTTATGTACAAGCTGTTTAATATTATTTTATATTAAAATGAAACAAATTACCCAAGTCTCTATTGATAGACATATGACTGTATAACACTGCTCTTATTTTAAAAATCCATAAAACTTAGCCATTTGGAAAGTATAATTACATAAAGTTAAGGGAAAATGAAAATGCTGAGTTATACGAATGAGATGTTTGCAACTTTGTAAAATACACATTCCTACCCGTTAGATCAGGGGGCGATAGTTGGTAAGTTAGAGTGGTTTTTGGATGAAATTTATACCACTTTTTCTGGATTTAATTTGTATCTTTATAACTTATAATTTTATAATTAAGTATCATTTATAAAAAGACACTTATAATTTATAAAAATTTTGAAGAAAGATGGTAACATTAGGGAACAAACCTGGTTTCTAGGTCAACTCTGAAATGACGGCCTGAGCATTGAGTAATCCTGCCACTAACATTTGGGGACTGAATCAAGGCACTAGTAGAGGCCCTGTGGCCTGCAGCTCAGTCTTCTCTTTCCAGCTGGGCACACCAGCTTCATGCCTAAGTCCCTTCTGCACCTCTGTGAACTGACGTGATCATTGCAACCGGGTCAACTAAACTCTGTGTGAATGCATAAGGAAGACATAGTACAGCTCTAGGGGCAGCCCGAGAACCGTTGGATAAGGGATAAAGGAGTTTCTCAGTCCCCAGTGCCCAGAGTGTGGTCTAAGAGTGGACATAGGTTCAGGCGTGTACATCCACTTGGCCTGTGAACTCTTTGCTCAGTAGAGTGGGCATGGCCAGAGGAGGGCCCAAGTGGGACTCTGTAAAGTGTGAGGCCCAGATCTCAGACTGACATTGACTTTGGCATATGAGATCAGAGTTAGAAATATTAGGATGTTTTAGGAAGTTGGAAAGCTCTTTCTACATTACCAACAAGTGCAGTTTCCATTAGGTTCTATTTGTGGTCTGTTACAATTTCTATGAAACCAAAGATTGAATCATTATTTCCTGGGGTTCAAAGTTAATAGAAACCTTGACTCTTTATTTTCTGATGTGTTCTAAAACATCTAAAAGAATATTTCCAGCTGAAATACTGTCTTCTTTGTTTATGAATATCCTCTTCCCCAAAAACTACTTTATAGAATAGCTGCTCCAGTGGAGTTGCAATGTCAGAAAAGTTACGTCTTTAGTGCACATTCTTCAGGGCCTTCTTGCTTAAGTGTGACCACCTCAGATTAAGGGTGAGGGTTCTGCATATTTCCATCTGCCTAGAAAGTTCAGCTAGTGAGCTGCCATTCACTTACTCATTGATTCATTTCACTAATATTAAGTATCTACTGTATACCTCATGGAGCTAATGAGTAAAAAATATGGATGAATCACTCAGAAGCCAAATGCTGTAAGAAAATGTTGGGGCCTGAGTGATAAGGAGCTAGTGAGTCAGGATGTGTGTGTGGGGGTGGTATGTACTCCCCAGAGAGAAGAAAAGATAAAATGCAGTCCCCAAGAACAGGTGTCAGTGTGTTTGAGGGACAGAAAAGGAAAAGATGTAATATTTGAAGATGGAACCCAGAGGCGCATGTTCAAAGAATGAGGCCTTCAGGCCTGGACATTTCCCAGTCCCTTTGTCCCCAGCAACCATTTTTTCTTTTTATGGCAATGCTAGAGATTGAACTCAGGGCTTTGCACCTGCTAGACAGGCACTTGACCACCGGGCCATACTCCCAGCCTTCTAGCACATTTTTCTATGAGGAAAGAAACCATTGTGAGCTTTGATGTCCACATCAGGTGGATGACAAGAGAGGGACACGGCCTTGAGCAGTCTGTGAAGAATGAAGCAGAGAAGTGCATGAAAGAATCACAGGACTGTCTTGGTTCTTGATTCAGAATCCCAGGCAAAGGGTGGAAAATGTACCAGTTGGTGTTGCTACTCAGAAAAAGGTGTCCTCTGTTGTATTTTCCCATTGGTCAGTCCCAGGCAAGCCTGGATGACCACTTTCCAGTCATTCATTCTTCCTTCTGATCTATTTTTTTCAAAGCATGAAGCCAAGATCAAATCTCTGACAGACTACATGCAAAATATGGAGCAGAAGAGGAGGCAGCTGGAAGAGTCCCAGGACTCACTCAGTGAAGAGCTGGCCAAGCTCCGAGCCCAGGGTAAATACTGACTTCTTTGTAGGTGTCAGATGCTTGGCCTAAGTCAGATAGTCTCTAGTTGGCTTGAGACTTGATGTTTAGTTTTGCTCAATTAAATCATTTCTAGATCTACAGAGAACAGCAATATAACTGAAAGAAAAAAAGAAAAAATGAAGAAAGCTGAGAAACTGCCTTGCCTGTCTTTCCATCTTCCCTCTGTCCATCACTGCCTGGGTCAGAATCCTCCCCCTCCAATCCCACTGGCCTCCAGTCATTCACCAAGACCTGTCCCTTTGACCTGCCCAATGCCTGTTTGGTTCTGCCCATTTCTGTCTCTACTGACCCTGTGCAGGGAAATAAGGTTTGCAGTTACGTCCTTCTACCGAGGGCCCACCTTGGCCTGCCATGGTCCAGCACTGTGCTGCATGCCCAGGGATGATTTTAAAATTCAAATTCTATCTTGTGCCAGACCCCATGCATTTCACCATTCTGTGGAGTTCTGTTGCTTGTAAAAACTGAACTTCTACATGACCAACCTGGCAAACCCTGCCTTAGAACAAGCTTCTCCCCTTGATAGTGGTGTCTGACACATAGGAAGCATTTAATAAGTGTGAATAAATAGAAGCAGAAACTCAAGTGGTAACTGGGAATGCAGAAACTAGAACAGGATTAAAGTATGCATTGTGCAGTTGTGAGATCAAACATACATATTGCAGGAGGAAATGAAAAATGTTAGCCTTTCTAGGAAGCAATTTGAATAATTCTAACATTTCTTCACACCACTTGATCCCCAAATCTCAAATATTCCTTGCAGAATTTTAAATCAAAAGGAAAAGGAAATAAAGAAAGCCACCTAAGTGCCTACCAGTTAAATAAACTTTACTAGGACATTTTTTTTTCACAGTGGAGATGAAATGCATGAAGGTGTGCAGTAATGATTACCGTGCAATGTTAGGTTAACAGTCACAGCACAAAACTGTATCCTTCTTGTGGTTATAGCTACTCAAATTAAATGGATCCTTCTGTTCCTAGAAAATAATATTTAAAATAAAGATGGTTTTGATAGGGTAGTAACATGAGGGATGATATCACTTGCTCAGTAAGTACATTTTGTTTCAGATGCAAATTTTAAATTTTAAAAAGAGAACATACCCACCTTGCTATACCTTTGTAACATTTTCTTTGTGTGGTAAGGAATGAATGTCAGGAATAGAATGCACACCAAAAACTGGACACGAAATAGAATTTTCCCCTCCCTTACATGGTTCCTGCAGTGATGCCACTGACTAGAAATAAACAGAGGTGAGAAGACCTGAAATAAAATGGAACAGACTAGAGAGAAATAAGACTAAATGTCACTGTCCTGACATTCAGGCTACCCTGTACCCATTGCCCAGGGAGCTCTGTGGTCAAGAATATGCTGACAGGACTGCCACACAACAGCCCTGCCCCCATGGGTCTCCTGCTGAATCTTGGAAGTGTTACTACTTATTTCTGTTTCCCTTGTTCTTATCCTTAGATTGTTTTACTGCTCCACATTCTTAGGAAATAAACAGCTTACCCATGGGAAGTAAGTTAGCTCTTTCTGGAATTTTACCAGTGGCATGCGTCCAAATGCCACTTCACAGTCACAGGGTGCTTTACAAGCTGCAAAGTTCATTCATGTCCATGACCTCAGGGGTTGCTCACAGAGGCTGGGTGGCAAACAAGTCTTCCAAGGGATAAGAAGATTAGAGCCAGGATGCAGTTGGGGGGGCGCTGCTTCCAGTAGCACCTTTCCCCTGCAGTTGCTGCTTTCTCCAGGACTCTGGTCCAGACGATTTAAGTAAGGATGCAGGAGAGGTAGGCCTTAGCTTTGCCAGAGTGCTTTGTCAGCAGCCCCTTCTTTTACACCATGGTTTTTAATGGTAACAGCAGCTGATGTTTCACTCTGCTGCCATTTTTCTTATCTTTTGTTTTTTAAGTTTTGCTTTTGGGTATGAGTCCTGTCAGTTAAACCTAAAATCATTTTTAATTCAAAACAGAAAAAATGCATGAAGTCAGTTTCCAGGATAAGGAAAAGGAACATCTGACGCGGCTGCAGGATGCTGAGGAAATGAAGGTGTGTAATAAAGATGTGCACGCATTTGATGACTTTGGACCGGATTTTCTTATTCTAGAAAAATCTACCCTTTTCACACCTGTGCATGGCAGTGTATGAGGGAGACAGAAGGGACCATGACTGGGCATTCAGACTAGTTCTCAAAATGTGCCTGGCACAGCCATGAGATGATGATGGAACTGTCCAGGAACTGAGATGTCACAGAGGATGTCTGTGTTGCATTGACACTTTTGTCTTCCTTGTTCCTTATGAAGAGGGGATAGGCTGGCACCCCAGTCACTGCATGGGCCACGTGGTCAAGGTTAAATTAACTTCTGAAGAAATGTTCACCCCTCCTTGGAAGAAAACTTCTTTCTCTAACATTTGTAAAGAAACACTACAAATCTGAGTTTCCATCTTAACACACAGATCTTTATTGGTCACATTTTTTAAAATCAGAAATGGAAAATGCAGGAGACCAGGAAACAAGGCTTTTAGGTGAATAAAATGATGTGTGAGAAGATGAGGAATTTTGGTTAGTGTTAGACAAACTACTTATGCTCCTTGGGCAAAACCTCCCGGCTAAAGCACTGTTCACATGAGACTGCACTAGCCAGCAGAGCACAGTCCTGCCTCACCTGCCGTGATGTCTCCTCTCAGTGCTTTGGTGAGAAGTATCCTCTGAACATCATCACACATCTCCAGTGGCCTGGGCTGGGGGTGGGGGGCTGGTACCTCAGTTGGAAAGGTGAGGTAGTGAAGCTCACACAAGTTACATGGCTTGCGTGTGGCTACTTGGGTAGTAAGCGGTCTGCCTTTTGTTTGACCAAACTAGAAAAGCCATGTAGCTTGGGCAAGTAGTAGAAGGTCAAGAGCAAACTTCCTATTAAATCAATGGATTAATTTGTTCCTAGGGCCCTACTCAGTTTTAATACAGATTTGTGGACTTTGTTGTCCCAATAAAGCAAGCCTGGGTACTGGGGGCACAAGAGCCAGAAACACCCTTAATTTTGGGATCTGACATCCGAGGGAGGTAGGCATTAATCCAGGGCTTGTCACTGAGTTGGCTGAGTGTCAACAAGTGGATGACACATTTCTCCTGGCCTGGTTTGCAGAAGGCATTGGAGCAGCAGATGGAGACCCACCGGGAAGCTCACCAGAAGCAGCTGTCCAGACTTCGAGATGAAATTGAGGAGAAGCAGAAAATCATTGATGAGATTCGGGAGTGAGTTGCCAGGGGCTTGTGAGGAGTGGTGGTAGGCATGGCTCAGTCCTCTTGGGCTGGTCTGAAAGGACATGGCTTTTAGCCAAGGGTCCTTCTCTGGTAGCCCCATAGGCTCTATCCTCTGCCCTGGTGAGTCCAAAGGCTGGATGTGCTGCTTCCGAGATCTGTTCTACCATCTGGAGCCCAGCCTCCTGAAGTTCTGATGTGGCAGGTGGCAGGCGGGCACAACTGCTCCTCCTTGTCACTCCACTGTCACCACCACCCCTGCAACCTAGGGCAGGATCACTTTGCTGGTGACTCAGCTGGGCAGACACATACCCCAGGAGATGAGGAGACTGTCTATATTAAAGGACAAAAAAAGACCCAGACCCTGACCTCTGTCAGTTCTGATAGGTTAGTAAACACTCCAGAGAAGATGGTTGTCACCTATCTCCTCCTCAGCCCAATACATACTGCTCACTGTGTGACTACAGCCACCTGGGCACACAATGGGTACTTCATAGGGACCCACACACCATCATGTGTCTGAGCTTGTGGAGGTGCTGGGAAACCTGTGACACTGTCGTCAGGGTGACATCATGGCAATTTAACTCAGAGCTTCTGGGGAGCCCCTGCTCCACAGCACCCTCTCCCTCCTCTGCCTGACCATCCCCTCATTGGCAACACAAGTGTCTCAGCCAAAGGTGCTTTCTGGGCTCTCTTGGAAGTTCTGAACATTTTTTGTACAGTGGATTCCCTTGGCACTCTCTGATCCCCTTTTCAGAATAATATTTTAAAAGCTCAAAAAAAAAAAAAAAAGAGGGGCCGCACAGGATTACGGAGGAAACAATTATATTAAAATACAGTTGCATCCATTGCTCTCAGCCCCTCCCCCCCAAAAAAGAATAAAGGTTCCCACCCCTCCCACTTCCATGTGGGATGAAGAAACGGATTTCTAATGGAAGCAAGGTTGAGTTATCTACTTAAGGTCATATTGCTAAACAGGAATCAGACTGGAGTTAAGTTTAATTCTCCAGACTACTGATCCAAATCTCTTTTCAAAGTAAATGAATACATTTGCATTTTAAAGAGGAGAATGGTGTTGTGGGATGAGCTCTGTGCACAGTCCACCTAAGAAAAGCACCTGGTATCCTCTCTTCCCCTCTCCTTCCTGGCTTCTGATTCATTATTCATTATTCATTATTCAGCTGTAATAGTGGGGAAGAGGAGGGAGGAAGGTGAGCCAGTGTGTGTGTGTGTGTGTGTGTGTGTGTGTAAACTTCCTGGGCTCGTACCTATTGGACTCTGGCCTTTCCTTCATGTAGTAGAGAAGCTGTTCCCTTGCAGTCCCTTGGGTATGGACCTGCAAAAGGCTTTATGAGTACTGGGCTGATGTCAATGTTGACCAAATGCCTCCAACCAGATGGCGAGTTTCTATTTGCAGCAAAAGCCCAGACTCTCTACTCTTTGTAATTCCTTTCTCGGAACACCTCATCCAGGGTACCACAGAGTGGGAACTGCCCCTGTGTCAGGCAGGTCTTTGGACTTGGGAGATGGCCTCAGACCATTTAACCAGGGTGGGGGAGAGTGGCCAAATAAGGTTACCTGAGTGAGTGCCTGCCCTTGGTGTGGCTACAGAAGCAGAGTTAATTGAAGGGAGCTCTTTCTCTTTTTTAAAACATTCTTTTCCCCCTGAAGCTCTTGCACACAAGCAAACCATCTATAAATCCTCAAAGCCTTTGTTTTATGCCTCTTTCATGCTCCCCAGAAATTAGTTTTCACTTGGGCAGGGAAGAAGCTGTGAGGTTGTTCACTGATCCCTCAAAATCCTCCAGAATTGCTGCCTTTATTGCACACCGCTAATGAGGTTGGAAGAGAACCACAATTTTAGGCGGATGACTCAGAATTTCAGGCTGATTTGGAATATATTGCTTTTTTCCTCTCAATTTCAGTTTGAATCAGAAACTGCAACTGGAACAGGAGAAGCTGAGTTCTGATTATAACAAGCTGAAAATAGAGGACCAAGAGAGAGAAATGAAACTGGAAAAGCTCCTGTGAGTGTACTTTAAATACTTCCTGATTTCTCTCCTCCCTGGGAGCTCTTCAAAACCCTGCTTTTGTGATTTAGAGACCCAGATAGCCTGGCTAATTTCAAAACAGAGTAAAACTATTTTGTGCTTGTTGGTTTGCTTTGTTGATTTATCCATAGGTGCAAATAGTGTCAACCTAATTCTGATTCCACTGTGGTGGCTTATGATACACTTTGTTTTTCAGATTGCTCAATGATAAAAGGGAACAAGCCAGAGAGGATCTCAAGGGGCTAGAGGAGACAGTGGTGAGTGGAGAAACATTTCCCAACTCATTTTGCTCTTAAAGACCTGATTAGTTGGTGAGCTGTTGAATTGTTCAGATAAAAATTTTATCCATGTGCACCTTTTTTTTTTTTTCCTAGCAGTTACAGTGATTAAACTCAGGGCCTTGGACTTGCTAGGCAGATGCTATACCACTTGAACCACTATCCCCACTACCCCACACTCCTGTCCTTTTCTGCTTTTTAGTTTAGTTTAGTTTTTTTTTTTTGAGATAGGATCTCAAGCTAACTGCCCAGGTGGCTTTGGACTGTTATCCTTCTACCTTCACCTTCTGAGTTACTGGGATTACAGTTGTGAACCACCATATCCAGCCTTTGAGTACACCTTTCTTGTGTATCATTTTAGACATAAAAAATTCTGTGGAAAGTGGTATTTGTAAAATTACTCTTGATCGAATCAGTCAATCAAACAATCCATTAGTTCTAGATTGAACTGACTTGCAAATCAGAGCTGCAATTTTATAGCCTCTGCACATTGTGGCTTACTTCTACTTGATTTTCAACAGACTTTTATAGAGCTCTTACTAATATCAATAAAGAATGTGGATGGCATCGTAGCCCTTGGGAAGCTTATCTTCAGCTGAGAGACACAGTAAGCAATAAGGAGGCAAACTGTGCACAGCAGCCTCCCTCCACAGGTGCACTTTCCACAGTGTCAGTTACTCCAGGTCAACACGGTCCAGTAATAAAACAGCAGTGTGATGAGGAATTAAGATATTTGGAGAGAGAGACCACATTCACGTAACTTTTATTACAGACTATTTTTATCATTTTATTATTAGTTATTGGTAACTTCCTACTGTGTCTAATTAAACTTTATCTTAGGTATGTATGTATACCTAAGATATACCTAAAACATAGTATATATGGAGTTTGGTACTGTTTGTGGTTTCAGTCATTCAGTGGGGATCTTGGAATGTTTCCTCTATAGACAAGTGGGAGCTGCTGAACTCTAGTACAGAGGGCAGGGGTTCAAGGAGGCCTGTGAAGAGGTGACATTTGAGCAGGGACTTGTAGCAGATGAAAAAGTGAGCCATGAGGATGTCAGTGGGAGAGTAGTCCAGGCAGAAGTAATGGCTGTGTCAAGGCCCTGGGGTGGGCCCCCATGTCTGGCATCCTGGGGTCAGTGTGGAGGTCAGTGTGGCTGCAGTTGAATGAAGGAAAGATAGAAAATGGGCACAGAGAGGAAAAAGCCAGAGTTGGTGTAGGCCAGGGAAGGGCCTGAAAACCCACATGGTTTTGGACAGAGAGAGTTGTGGCAGATCCACCTTGCCTTTGGAAGGGTTCAGTATTTGAAGGCTCCCTTAGTTTGCTGTGTCTTATGTCTGGATCCGTTGGCTTCATTTTTTCTGGCAGGTTTCATTTCAGCTGCTCTGCAGGATGGCTACCTGACTCTCGGGGCATAAGAGAGCCCTTTGCCATAACCACACAGCAGTGGTTTAATACACACCGTTCTCACATCATTGCCATTTGGTGAAAACACATTCAGATTTGCCCCTGCAGCAACAGCAGAGACGCATTCTGAACCACTCAGGTGTCATGTGAGTTTTTGTGGGACAGAGTCTGTCCCTGACAATCTGGGCACCCAAGCTGTGGACAGATGGCTGTTCCCATCCTGCCCCGAGGCTGTGTGCTGGCTTCTGGGCCAGAATTTGTTGCTCCTTAGAGCCAGGGAGAGGAAAGAGGCCACAACCACCAGGATGGAGGTCAGATGCCAGGCTGTTGGGAAGATGGCCTTTCAAGAGCGAAGTCTTCTGAGAGGCCCTGTAACAAAGCCAGGAAATTTCTTCATCTGCATCTGGTTTACCAGACAAGTGACACCCGTAATTGCAGCTAATTATAGAAATCCAGGAAAATATATTGAACGTTAAATTTTTACTGTATTCCCCCAGCCAGGGATGAGTGATATATCAGGGTGTTTTCTTCCTGCACCTCCACAAGTCCTTGTTCACTCCCTTGTCTGCCTCTCAGATGTGCCCTCTTACCGCTCCTCTGTCTCCCTCACACCCACAGCTGGCTCACGCACTTGTACGCACACATCATCACACATGCCACATACACGTCCACACAGCGCATGCTCTGCTCATGCTCTCACCTGTGTTCATCCATGCATTTAGACTGCCACTGTCATCCACACAAATCTTTATGATGCTCAAACACAGTGCCCACCTAGTAGTACTCGCGCCCAACATTTGCACAACTCATGACCACTTTTCCTGGTTTCGTGCACACTCTTGTGCATTTACACAAGTCACTTGCGTACTTTGTACTCACACTTGCTCACCTTCACTCATGCTCTTACCTGTTCCCACACTCACATGTAAATCCTGGCACAAACACTCACTTGGTGTGCCCTCCACACACATCCACACACAGGAACACTTGTGCTGCTGCCCTCACAGGTCATTCTTACTCACCTGCACTCATACCAGGCTCACTCACACTCACTCACATGCTTTCTCTCTCACTCACAAGTGCAATTCTTAGAGGATCTGTCACAGCCCTTTTGCCTTTTGTTGCTCGGTATGTCTTGAATGCTGCATTTTCCTTAGTGGCCATCACCATCTGTCCACCTGGTTTTTCTCCCTTCCTCCCATGAACTCACTCATAATGCCACGTGAATCTGGTTGTGTTTGCACACACTGTCTCTCACAGACTGCCCACACTTACGTGTCCATCCTGCATACAAGGACAAATTCATTGACACAGTGGCTCCTCATCCTCTCCCTCCCTCCCTCAGCACCCACACATCACACGTACACACACACATGCACGCATACACACATACACACGCATACACACGCACACACTTTGCAATCCAAAATTGGAATTCTACAGAATGTACGGTTTTAGACTCACATGTTTTCCCCCAGCCTTTTACTCCTCCCCAGCTGTAAACAGGCTCGCTGTCCTTGGCTGCCTGTTCTTATGGCCTCCTGGCACAAGACCTGCTTCGCCTCCTTGAGTTTTGGGGGTGGCATGGATGGAGCCTACATGCAGCCCAGGGGTTGGAGTTTGGGGAGCCCACTGCAGGGCATCACAGTGGGAAAGGCTGACTGGTCATCTCAGTGTCTCTGAGCCCTAGGCAGCCACTTTGCTTCAACAGGACACTGTACTGTATGGCAGGACCCTGCCTCCTGCCGTGTTAGCCACCTCTTTAGTCCCCACCTACACTGTCCACTGGGCAGGAAGCTGAGCCTTAAACTTTTTCTTGAAATGAAGCAGCCTGTGGTGGGAAGAGACTTGAGGGAAGTAAGTCAGGGAATGGAGAAATGATGAATTCGATGGAGGAAGAATCATCACCACAGGAAGCCAAATGATAGTTACCTAACCATAAATGTGCACAAATATAAACTACTTTAAGTGTTTTTAACTGCCCCTCCCAAGCTGTTTATTGTTGAGACCACCTACAAACAAGAGAAAGGTGCCAAATTCAGGACTCTGTATTGTGTGGAAATGCCTCCCTGGACAAGGTACCATACCTTCTCATTTCCCTTTGGTGTGGGAAAATATTAACTGTGATTACAGTTCAGTCAGTAATGAGGTCACTGAGAGACGGCAGGCAGGGCAGTTGCAGTATTAAGGGGTGCTGGGGCTGAGCTCCCTCTGGCAGGAGTGTGGGGACAGCGTGTCTGCATAATTGTGAGCACTGTGCGTGCAGCCCCCACCCCCACCCCGCATCTGTGCCAGGAGGTGGCTCGGCTGTGGACAAGTACAGGGTGCACATTATTCATAATAACAGACCACTTGGCTTCTTGCAGAAAGCAATTTACCTCATCTGAGGATGCAATTGACTTCACGTGCTTCTTATTGCAACACAGAATTGAATCCAGTAATAAGGCCTTAAATTAACAGAGAACCTGTATTCCAAGAAATTTAGTGTTTCCATAGCTTCGTGGCCTGTTTCTTATGTTTTAAGGTGAGAGTGTGTGAGCTGCCTCCCTGGCATTCTGTGGAAGGATAGGTCCATTTAGACAGATCAAAAAATTTACATTGAAAAGTTTATCTTTCCTCCTCCTTTATAGGAAGTATTTTAGAAGGAAATAACATCTCTCTTGTAATAAATCCACCAGAACGAACAGAAGGAAAGATTTTGGTCTTCGGGCTTATTAGCAAAGGTCAGGTTTAGTTCAGGCCTTTGCTTCAGCAAAAAGTTCATTTGTAGAAAAAAAATGCCTCCAGGAAGTTTATTACAGTGAAAGTTACAACAACAAAAGGAAGTAATATGAACCTCTTGGCTCATATGAAGAAATGGCTGATGTTTATTTATTTTTTCCTTCAACTTCACCATGGTCTTGGTTCTTTTTTATTTTTTATTCATTTATTCATATGTTCATACATTGTTTGGGCTGTTTCTCCCCCCCTGCTCCCCCCACCCCTTCCCTCTCTCCCCCACCCCCCCTCGCTTCCAGGCAGAATCTGTTCTGCTCTTATTACTAATTTTGTTGAAGAGAAAGTGTAAGCAAAGACAAAGCGTTTTTGCTAGTTAAGAATAGCTATACAGAGAGATCCCTAGTATTGCTTTCATGTACAAATGTGTTACAACCCAAGTTGATTCACCTCAAACTGACCTTTTCACTAGTTCCTGGTCCCCTTCCCATATTGACCTCTGCCACTTTAAGGTTTCTGTATTAGTTCCTCTGCAGTGGGGACATCAAATACTATCATATTTTGGGTTTCTTACCTATCCCCATATCTCCCGTGTGTGCTCTCCCCTTATCATGTGACCCAAGTTCGACCACATTGCTGTATTTGCCCTAGATCTAAAGTCCACGTATGAGGGCTAACATAGGATTTTTGGTTTTCTGAGCTGGCCATTCTTCATGGCCGAGTAAAATTCCATTGTATGTAAATGCCACATTTTCTTAATCCATTCATCAATAGTGGCTGTTCCATAACCTGGCTATTGTGAATAGCGCTGCAATAAACATGGGTGTGCAGGTGCCTCTGGAGTAATCTCTGTCGCATTCCTTTGGGTATATCCCCAGGAGTGGGATTGCTGGATCATATGGCAGATCTATGTTTAGATTTTTAAGAAGCCTCCAAATTTTTTTCCAGAGTGGTTGCACTAGTTTGCATTCCACCAGCAGTGTACGAGGGTTCCTTTTTCCCTACATCCTCGTCAACACCTGTTGTTAGTGGTGTTTTTAATGATGGCTAAGGAAATGGCTGTTATGAAGTATGCATCGGTAAATTAATAATAATGTCTAGTGAGCACTTTCTATGTGCCAGAAATGATTCTATGAGTTCTCTAAGGATCATCTCATTTAATCTCGACATGGAGAAGGCTACAACTCTTTTTATCCTTATGTTACAAATAAGAAAACCAAGGCATAGAGAGTTGTAACTTGTCCTGAATGGCCTGGATGGAAGGCCTGAGAACTCCTTCAGGGATGAGCTCAGTGATTTAAAGCAAATGTATTTGTGGACTTAGGCAGAAGGGAATATAGAACTTGGAAAAATGAGAGAAATTTTGACTAACTTTTAATTTATACTTGTTGGTATTACATGTAATGTTTACATGATAAGTAAAAAGAAAACCAAAGGAAAAAGGAATCCATTCTGGTGCAATGTAGCCTGCTCAGAATTTTTGTGAGATGACTTTTGAATTTTTGTGGTTGAAAACAAAATGGTTCCATTGAGAGGAGTGCTAGGAGTAGACTTTGATCTAGCTTAGTATTCATGACTGGGGTTCCCAGCTCCGCACACTGAGGTGCTCTTGATAGTGGCATGGGTAGAGGAGTGGGACATGGTGTGGTGGGTGAGTCACAGGAGCTTTGGTGGCACCAACATCAATGGTGGGTCTCAAAGGCAAATTGGATCTGATGCAAATCGGGTCTGATGCAAATGTGTCACAAATTCAATGTGTCTTTTCGCTAAAGTGGCATTTACAAAAAAAAATCTTCTCTTCCAGTCTAGAGAGCTGCAGACTCTCCACAACCTCCGCAAACTCTTTGTCCAGGATCTGACAACCCGAGTGAAAAAGGTGAGTTCCACTGTGTCTGAACAGGTCTGAGAAGAAAAAGGAAGATGGCCAGGAAGAATCATTTTCAGTTAAAATTTGAATTCTTAAATTAGGATTGGTTATGCTTAAAAATTAATTATTTCATGTCAGAGAATATTATTAAAAGAATGTGCTAGAGGCAAAAATTACTTGGGAACATTTTCCCATCTGATTTTTTTGCTTCTTAGTAAAAGGAAAGTATAATGCTTTCCCTGGCCTCCATTTCAAATGAACATGTATTTATCTGTCCCCTGCTGGGTGAAAGCCACTGGGCTTGGTGCAGGAAAATCCAGAGTGGGCTTGTCATCAGGCAGCATTGCCCTGCAATCTGGAGAGAGAAGTAAGGTGACCAGAGCCTGGTATTTGTCTGTCCTGAGGTCAGTAGGGGCTAGGGCATCCAATATCTTACTTCTCTTCCCAGTAAACATGTAATGGGTGCTCAGCATTCCTGTGTTACAGATGTGGATATAGGCTTACATGTTAAATGACTTGCCCCAGTTGCAGCACTGGAAGAACCAGAGATAGATTTGGAACCCAGGACTATGGGCTCCCAGTCTCAGAGCTTCTTCCGTCTTCATGCTGCACACAGTGATCCTGGAGAAACTCCATGTTGGTGACTCCCCAGGGTAGCTTGGAGAGGCTTAAGGGAGAGGAGTAATAAGGGAAGGCAGCCAGAGGGCTTCTCTTGCAAAATATTTACAAGTGATGGATGAGGAGCAGTGGGTCATAGCAGAGACACAATGGGAAAGAGGTCAAATACAGTAAGAGGAGGTCATTGATGGAGTCAGGTCTGAGGGGGACAGAATTATTAGCATGGATGAATACGCTGTTTGGTAAGGAGAAAGGACTCATTTGCTCAGGGGGGAGGAGTGGAGAATCGAGCTGGAAGCGCTTGCAGGGAACTCAGCGTGGAAGTGTGAGAATGAGGAGTTCAAGGAGCCCAGAGAAGCTTAGGTTGCTGTGGAAGGCATTTGCTGGGGATGAGCAAGGGGGTTCCTGAGCAGTGGTGTGAGGGTCCAGCCGTGGGACCATTTAGCATGGTACCTGACAGCATGGGTCTAGTGAGTTTAGAATAAAAAATGGGAGATTTCAAGGCCTGAGTGGTAATGGTCAGGCCAGTAGATAGTGACAAAAATACACAGGGCTGTGGGGCCTAGACCAGGTTAAGAGCATGAGGTCAGTGCAGAGGTGATGAAGAGACTAAAGAGAAGGAGGGCACCTGACGAAAGCTTATGACAAGAAAATGCCCTAGGAATAAGCTTTATTAGCCTAGTGGTCCTTTGGTCAGCAGCAGCTGCATCACCTGGGAATTTGTTTAAATATGCAAATTTTCAGGCCCCACTCCAGATCTGAGGATCAGAGAATGGGAGCCCAGCTAGCAATCTGAGTTTTAACCCTTTTCTGGAGATCCCTGTTTTAGACCGAAGAGAAATGGTCATGAAGCCATCACCCTTCAGAATAGGGATGGTGATCTCTTCTATAATTGCATGAAGCAAACCTGTTTTGCCAGTTTTGAACTCCAGAATGTGTTTCCACATGTATTTCCCAATGTATCTGCGCCACCTAGCTTGTCAAAGGCGCGGGTTTTTTTGCCACTTTCAAGATCTGATACATGTCAAGGATTTCCCCACCATCTGGATGCTATGACCGGGTTGAGACTGACTCATTGAGTAATTGCAGAGAATTGGAAGCAGAAGGGACAAGCAGAGACCATTAGGACTTCCCAGTGGCAATGTAGACTCTTGTTTATTGGCTTGGTGGCTTATCTTGCCCAAATGGTTGAAACCAAGTTTGGGTGTTGGGTTTATTTTCACACTGATTCTTCTTAATGTTTTAAACATTTTCTTTAAAAAGAAAAATCTCTGTACTCCTACTGCAAGGAGAAGTGTGTTTCACTAAAGAGGAATCATCTTCATTTTATAAAAACAGATCTGAAGGTGTATTTTTCCCCAGCACTTTAAAAAATAGTTCTTCTCACTACATTTTTGGTATAAACTAAGAAAATTAATTGGAGCATTTGTTGAATCTAAACTTTATCTTCGTTTTTGGTCTACTTCTTGGTGGAATTGGGGATTTTTTTTTTTTTAAAGAATGTTTAAAATGCATCATGCACAGTATACTGGGATGAGAAGTTGGGAGTGTGATGGCCACCCCACTGACAGCCTGGTGTTTACATAGAGTGTAGAGCTGGACAGTGACGATGGAGGGGGCAGTGCTGCCCAGAAGCAGAAGATTTCTTTCCTGGAGAATAACCTGGAGCAGCTCACTAAGGTGCACAAGCAGGTAGGAGAGCTCTGCCCACTCCTGCTGCTTACCTCTTTCTCTTGGTAAGCAGCCTCATCAGGCTGGCTGCTGTGTGGAGAGAAGGCTCTGATACTGAAATTAAAAGGACTATGCGTTACCAGAGAACATGAGTGCTGGAAGGGTCTTTAAAAATTCTTCTCTTTGCTGGGCACAGTGACATAAATCTGTACTCCCAGTTACTTGGGAGGCTGACATGGGAAGATTACTTGAGCCCAGGAGTTAATCAGCCTGAGTAACATAGTGAAACCCTATCTCCAAAAACAAAAACAAAAAAATCCTTTAGTGATTTAGTGATTTCCTTTATACATATGAGAGTTTCTTCAATGGAAGCCAGATAGAGGATTGAGTGACAGCTCTCTAGGATTTGAGGAGTAAGGTATTTAGAGTCCTACTTTTCCTCCTGCCTTCACCCAACTGGCCTTATCTCCTATGAAGTCTCTGAGGCACCTCTGTGGACTTGATGCCTCCAAAGAATCAAAGAGGACTCACGGAGCTGGTTTAGGTCCCTTATATTTACAGTTGAGGAAACTGACTGCTTCATTCCACAGGTGGGAGAACAGGGACCAAAACCTGTCCCCAGTGCTCTCCCTGTTCCTGGAGATCATAGGTGCCCTCGAATTTGTCCATAATGACACAGTGACAGCCATGTCCAAATACACCAGTGATTTAGGCAGGTCATTTATCTTCATCATCTCTTTCTGAATGCTGGCATGTCCCTACTCCCTACTGTCTTTCCTCTTTAGGATTTTGGACAGTGTAGAAATCGTCCAGCAGTTGAAGCACATGGCCAAGGGGATATTATCTTTTTTAACAACGCTCATAAATGGCAGTTTTCCCCAGAGGAGGGATGACAGGTCAAGAAGGCTGCAGTCATTTTAGCAAATTGTTGATGAGAAATACACAACCAGCTGGGTGCTTCCTGCTCACATCTATAATCCTAGCTTCTTGGGAGGCTGAGATCTGGAGGATGGTGGTCCAAGACCAGCCCAGGCAAATAGTTCCCAACATACCATCTCCAAAATAACCAGAGTGAAGTGGACTGGAGGTGTTACTCAAGTGGTAGAGTGCCTGCTTTGCAAATGTGAAGCCCCGAGTTCAAATCCCAGTCCCACCAACCAACCAAACAAAAAAAAAAAAAAAAAAGAAAGAAATACACAAACAGAAACTGCCAGGCAACTTGAAATTGGGCTCTGCCACTCATTGTTTTATTTATGAATTCAAGGACTATTTATTAAAACCTGACTTTCTGCCAGGCAGTGCAGCTATTGTGGGGACAAACAAAGCAGGACAAACACAGCAGTAGGTTGCTTTGAAAAGCACTTCCTGATTTTCCAGATTTTTCTGGAGCTGCCTGGATCCCCACAATGAATCTATTTCAGTAGTATCTTTGTTTTAAAGATACAAAACCTAGGACTTGTAGCGCTCAAATGACTTACACCATGTCACATAGCAGGGAGATGACAGGCTTCACCTGGGGCCAGCCTGTTGCTTAATTGTAGGTCCTAGGTAAAAAGAAACAAGCAGTGCTTACTCTTCTGTTTCTACTGGCCTATGGCTCTGTTGCAGAACTGGGTCCCAACGCGGTGCCAGTGTAGATAGTGGTCCTGTAGGGAAGGGGCTCTTACAGAAACCTCCAGAATGTACATATTTCACTGAGTGATTTTGAATTGACTTTACATTTCTCAGCTTTCTCATGTTAATATCCTAGAGTAGCAAATCTCACACTTCTGACCCTCTCCAACACACAAACAAAAGAGGAAGTAAATCTTGCCCCAAATTAGTTTCCTGTGACTGGAAATGGCTTTTAATTTAACACCCGCATCTCCTCGCAGTTCCTTACATATGATGAATCTGTGTTTACCAAATTAGTCTCAGGCCATGGGATTTCCTCCTTACTGGTCACTTAGTTTATTATGGTCATACATACTGTCAAAGACAACCTAGCAGGGATGGTCGTTCAGCTGCTGGAGAGGTTTCTAGCTATCAAGTGGTTGTTCTGACAGCGAGCAGCACAGCCGCTCTAGTAAGTGGCGCCCTTTGCTTCTCCACCACAGCTGGTCCGGGACAACGCAGACCTGCGTTGTGAGCTGCCCAAGCTGGAGAAGCGGCTGCGCGCCACCGCCGAGCGGGTCAAGGCCCTGGAGAGCGCGCTGAAGGAGGCTAAGGAGAACGCCATGCGCGACCGCAAGCGCTACCAGCAGGAGGTGGACCGCATCAAGGAGGCTGTGCGAGCCAAGAACATGGCCAGGAGGGCACACTCTGCCCAGATCGGTATGTGGGCGCTCAGTAGCACCTGAGGGATAGGGACTACGGGGCTCCTGATCAAGGACTCCACTAATCTGAGAGGTATGATGGCACCTGCAGGGCTTAGCCCTCACAGCACCGTGTGCTCATTCCAAAGTGGAAATGTCAGGCGCCTGCCGTCCCACTGTTGAGACAGCCCCGCACACTGCGTTCATCAGAGCTGCCTAGCTGAGCCAGAAAAGCCAGCCAGGGCTGGTGGAAAAGGTCTTTGGCTGTAAACAGAGCTCACTCTTGGAAATATTGAAATATGTGAATATTCCTCAGCAGGACCATAAGGGAGCCGGTATGCATCCCCAAGCCGTAGGGAAAGCTGTCTGCAAGCGGAGGTTTGGAAGTAGCTGGGAAAGGGCGCGGCTGGCAGCAGTGAGCAGGGTGGAGTTACAGCTGGCAGGGGGCCCTGGAGTTCGAGCCCCTTCAAGAACTGTATGGATTTGGTATTTTGCCCATGTAAGAAAGGGCAGTGTAGCTACTGAGTCGTAGGTGCCAGGTTACAACCATAGGAATAAAAGAGATTTAGGGATGTCCTCTAGAGAGTTTTTTAAAATTGAAACATTCCTAATAACATGTAGTATTATTTCCCATCAGCTGTTGCTGTGCAGATGTACTATGAACAGCAGCTTCCTGTTTCCAGTTTTAAAATCTCATAGATTAGTGATTTGTTGAACTTATTAGATTTCTTCCCCTTTGAGAGTCTGCTGAAAACTATGGCTTCTCTCTCCAGAAAATTCATCACAGGTAGAATTCTGCCTCCAGTTTTAGGGGCTACACGGATCCCTGTGAAGTCCATGGAGGATTTGTGGATCTACCACAGATAAAACCCTAAGTCCTTTGCTTCTCATTTTTTCTTGTTTATTAAAAATTCTCTTTCTTATTTGAAAGCAAGCTGATTGACATCCGAATTCTCTGGATTCACTAACTATATCGCTAGGAGGGCAAGCCTCTTGTTTTCAGCAAAGTCTGGTAGTGGGTAAGCAGTGTCATATTGATAAGCATTGTGACACTTGTCACCTGTGACCCTAGGTATCTGGATTGCTGTTTCAGTTCTTTCTTTCTTCACATTGTTCTCTTTCCTTTCACTTGACACAGCCAAGCCCATCCGCCCTGGACACTACCCAGCATCATCTCCAACAGCAGTCCATGCCATCCGAGGGGGAGGTGGTGGATCTTCAAACTCCCCTCACTACCAGAAATAAATACACAGTGAGTCCTGGCTGTCTGGGGTGGTTTGTCTTTTTCGGGTAGTGCTAGGGCTTATTTTGAGGAAAACCTTGCCTTCTCAGAGCCCCGGCTCTGCCATCTCACCCACATGCACGTGGACCTTTAGCGACTCCAGAACTTTGGGGGTCCAGGGCTTCAATATGGAGCCCTGGGTTCTTCTAGCTGAGCCATAGAAGCTGGTGAGACCCTGAGCCAGGCCTGGTCTAATCACCTCCAAGTGAAGTGTGGTGAGTGACTCACCTGAGCCTTCTTTTGTTTGCAGGGCTCTCCTATGCAGCTGACATTCAGAAGAGTAATAACTGTTTGTCAACTGCATTTACCCAGAGCAGAAAGGAGTGGGTGGTGGCTTTAAGTCTCAGGAACTAACTATAAAGAGCCAGATAATAGTCATCTCTTTAAAAGAGACTTACTATCTGGCCCCAACAAGGGGGGTTTTAAAGAAGTGTGCTAATTTTAGGCGGGTCTAGACCACTTTTTCTTTGACATGGTAGTCTGTAAGCCTGTCTGTCTGCAACTCTCAGGCCCAACATTGCTCTACCAGCGAAAGAAAAAGTGACATGCTTTAGAAAAGACACAAAGGGGAAGGGCAAAAGCCTGTCCTTTGTGACTGAAGAACAGAAAAGAGGTTCCTGGTTGAGCTGGTAGACAGACAATAGCATTACTAAGCTGAAAACTTCCAAGGAGGATGATTTGATGGCTGTCCCCAGACAGGTCTCATTTGTGCTGCCCCAGGCAGTGTCAAAGAGTAGGCCAGGGGCTGGTCAGCCAAGAGGGAACAGGAGGGCAGGCCAAGGCCAGCTGCAGTGGGCATGATGTCCTCCAGCATCTGCTGTATCCTGGATGGATTGGTGAGAAATTGGCATGATAGCAGGCCACTCCTTTCAGATCTGACCTCTGTTTCCAATTGAAATAAAATGAAATCGGGTGTTATACAGTTGCTTTTGGTTGCCCCTTGTTGGAGTTGAGGCTGATACCTGAAGGGTAAGAACGGTCACACTGGGCAGCTTAGAGCAGAAAAGCCTGAAAGCAATGGCCTCAAATGTTGGTGGGAGCTGGAGCTCAAGGGTCGAGCATGTGCTTAGCATGCAAGAGGTCTGCTTCCTTTCCTAGCACCAAACACGACAAAACACAAAACACCAACTTTGATGGCTGTCAGTATCATCTAGCACCAGAGACCAGGCCCTGAGCATAGGCTAGGCCCTGGGCCTCCCATCTTTTCCCCAGGGACACTAGGTAGTTTTGATGTCCACCAGAGTTTGAGACCTACAATAACGGTGGTTTACACAGGATAGAAGTTTCTTTTTCATGAAAAGGAAGTCTGAGGTCCACCTGTCAACAGTTGGTAAAAGCTCCACAGTGACAGTGGAAACCTAGTCTCTTTTAATTTTAGGCTTATTGTCCTCAGCAAGGGCTTTCCCTCTTCAAAGTCACCCCATGGTCACCAAAATGAATTCTACTATGTTTCCAGCTGTCATGACCATGTTTCAAGTATAGCACTCCAAGGGGAAGCAGCAAAGAGGCAAAAGCAGCTTTCCTGGCTGAATTAATGTCCTTAGCTTCTCAGGAGCCCCTATTTGATGCTTGCATTAGCCAGATGGGAGGTATGTGCCACATGTAGCCACAAGGCAGGCTGAAAAGGTACATCATTGTTTATGAGGACAAAGAGAGTGGACATTGGGTTGGGCAACTAGCACTCTGTATGTACCAGATGCTACTGTGGACCAGTTCTGGCTATATACAATGTATACATGATTTCACTTGATGAAAACACATGGAACGGTGCATGTCTGGCTTCCAGTAAGTTCTTAATAAATACATTGGTCAGAAATTCTTGGGTCCAGAGGCTGTGCAGTATACAGTCACCTTCATTATGGGATCTGATAAACTCTGCCAAACTCACATTTCATGTATGACCTGGACCTGTGGCCAGTATGGCCTCTTCTCATACTGAGGATTGAAAGTCAGGACTTCTCGTGAATCTTTCACAATCTTCAGAGTAACAGAACCAGCCTCACCCACCAGGTAGTTGGTTTCTTTCTTTGTACTCAGAGTGTTGCCGAAGTTTTGATTTTATACTGGAAATCTGAAACTTCTTTCTTAACACACTTTATCCATCCATCTCTGTAGCCAGATACTTTTCTCATAATGTCACAAAATAAACACTAGTCAGGATGGTAGTGTGGTTGAGGGTACTGGTATTGGACAAGGGACCTGAGTTTTCAGATACCAGGTCTTCCACTTTCTTCAGGTTACTCTACCTCAGAGTCTGTTTCCTCATCTGTGAAATGGGGAGAATCTTCTACCTGGTCATTGGCATTGATAGGAGGCTTAAATGAGGGTCTGTTTCTAAGCTTCATGGCACATAAATAAGTGCTAGATAAAAGCGTTTGTTGCTAGTATAGATGAGCAGTGCAGAATTCTGCACATAGTCATCGGTTGTTAAGTGCTGGCTTGTGTTCTTTATTAGAAAAAGGAAAAACTAAAGTCTTCTTCCTATGCTCACGACCATGCAACACTTGTGATACCAGGGTTCTTCAGTGGGCACAGCTGGGAACCCTCTAATCCAGTTCAGTTTTGACACTAGGTACCTGGAAGCAGCAGAAGCTTCCAAAAGTTAAGGACAGGGTCCCACAAAACCACCTCCTCCCCCACTACTTCAGATGCCACTTGCAAGCCCTGGGTTGTGACCTGTGTTTCTGACCAACTTGCTATAAACCTGGGTTCCTACAACCTCCTTCTCAGGCTCAGTTTGCTCAAAGGCCCACAGAAATGGACTCATTTTACTTACATCTACTTGATTATAAAGATAGTACAAAGGATACATACGAGCAGCAGGTGGAAGAAATGCACTGGGCAAGGCACAGGGTGTGTGTGGAGCCTCAGTGCCTTCTACAGGTGCATCACCCACCAGGCTCTATGTGTTCAGCAATCCAGAAGCTCTCCAAACCAAGCCTCTGGGTTTTGATGGAGGGGTGATGGATTAAAGCATTGGCAACTGCTGCACCCAACCTTTGGTCCCTGCTAACTGAGGTGGGAGGTGAAAGTGGGGGTTGCAAGTTCCAGCCCTCATCACGTGGTTGGTTCTCCCGGCAGCCAGCCCCATTCTGAGGTTCTCCAGGGGCCCCAAGGACCAGCCATCTATTTAGAACACAAATCTCACTCATTCTTTAAGAGACTCCAAAAGTTTTAGGAGTTTAGAAACCACGGTCCTAGACCAAATAGTTATTTCTTACTATGTCACCTGTGACATCAGACAAGGTGCTTGATTGCTTCCAGCCTCAGTTCCTTATCTGCCAAATGGGATCAGGCATGTAGGGCCTGTTTTGCACTTGATACAAAAATAAACAAGGTAACTTCAAGTCATGGTAAATGCTCCGAAGAAATAAGAACAGGTTGATGGAATAGAAATGGGGGTCCTATTTAGAAGAGAGGGTGATATTTGGGTTGAAAACTGTGATGAAAAATGGCAGCATCTCAGCAACTTGTAGGAGAGGAGCAAGGATGCTAGCTAGCTCCAACGCAGGATTGAATGAGTGTGCCCAAAGAGTGAGGGAGGGCTGGTGAGGTGGAACCCCCAGGAGCCAGACTGTTGCAGTTAGGTGTGAGAATAAGTAGGGCTCACTGGGGGCCTACTGTAGGTGTCTGTTTGGAGGACACTGGTTAAGGCAGTGGCAGCAGACAGTGAGCAGTGGTCATAGTGGGCAATTGTGTTAGAGCTGGATCCAGCCCTCCAAGCTTCTTAATTAGGTGACGGGGAGGAGGAAGGAAGGCAATCAAAGGTAGTGCCTAAACTCGGGCATAGCAATTAGGTGAATATTAGTTCCTTTTAAACCATAACAGGGACAATTGGGTGATGGGTAGGTTTTGTGGAAAAAGTTTTGTTTCCATCAGGTTAATGATGAGAGGCCTCTTTGATGTCCAGCCAAGCTTCCTGTGCAAGTGGGTGTGTTGAATAGACAGTTGGGCCCAGGAGTCTGGAGCTCAGGAGAGAGGCTAGGACTCAAGACCTTACAGAGTGGTGATCATAAACTGTTTAAGACCTGGGGCATGGAGGAGGGTGCACAAGTCAGAGAGGGAAGTGGAGGGAGGAATGAGTTAGAACAGCCCAGGGACTGGCAAGTGGGAAGGTCAGAGAAAGGAGGTGGAAAGGAGAATGTAAGGTTACAGGGGACAGAGACTGGGTGGTGACCTTGGGTGGCTTCAGTGGAGAGGAGGAAGTGATTCTAATTAGCACAGGCTGGAGAGTGGTAGTGAGGTGGTAGGTCAGCAACTGCACATACAGTTTTATCTGGAGGAGGGTAGATAGACACGGAGAATGTGAGGTTGAGATGGGTGCCTTTCTCTTATAAGATGAGAGAGAGCAGCTGGTTTGCATGCTACTGGTAATGATCCAGCTGAGAGGGACAGAGGAGAAAGTACAGGTGCAGGGAGGAAGCAGTTGGGATGGGCAGCACTAGGTGTCTCAACATCTAGTGCTGCTCGTCCCAAACAAGTAAGAAGCCAGGTTATTAATTGGGAGGGCGGGGAGGTGGAGCTGCAGCCTTGAGAACAGAGAAGGGGTGAAATGGGCCCCAAACTTAATGTAGACACCCAAGTAAACATTTCTCCAGCTCCTTTATTCTCAGCACCCTGAAGACCAACTACTGTTCTTGGCAATGCTTTGCCAAAACTGTGGGGCCTTGTTGAAATGTGACCACCAGATGGCGCCAGTGGGGCATGGCTGAAATCTCAGCTATTAGACTTTGAAGGCCAAATCGTCCCTTCCCTCTCTCTCCTTTATATTTAGACCATTGTGTCTCAAACTTAAGTAGAAAAAACATACTTTTAAGTAATAAAATTTTCACAGATCCGCAGAGTTGGTGTAAATTTTTTATTATAATATTTAAATATTTTAGATAGTGTATAATTTAGATAGTATATATTCCCTTCTTACAGATCTTACACAACTCTGCAGTCAAAAAATTTAAAATTGGATTAAGATA